AGTGTGTTCTTCCGACCAACGCATACAATGAATGATTACTGGTGATTCAAGTTGGATTTCAATTGTGTTATGTGTGTTCTTCCGACCAACGCACATCTTGTTTAGAATAATTGTTATTCTGTTATGCTCGGTCCAAGAAAAATTTCGGGAGCACCGCATTTTACTACTGATTGCAATGAGTTCGACGACATCGTAAATTCATGTTCGGTAATCTTCGAATCTACTCTGGTTTTGCAAGATATTGTTTTTTTTTTCTAAGTTTACTTTCAGTACAATTTCATTATGATGTGATTATTTATTTTTGGTTTGAATGGCATCAAGAATCATCATGGGAGAATGATTGTAAACGGTCGCATATTGAATGTGATGCGTTGGGATTCTGTTAGTTTATTAAGTTTTAATTGGGAATGTTGAGTTAACATTGAATTGTTGTTATTTGTAGACGTACATATCATAATTTTAGCTTAGTTGTAATTTTGGTTGATGTTTAGCTAAAATGTTAATGATATGTCCAGATTTGGTTTTGGTTTGAATTCGATTACAATGCCGCTTGCTACACTATTTCGATACATCTTTGGTTAAATTATATAACAGTTGCGATTATGTTTGTGACAAATCGTGCTGACGTGTCTCGCTGGATTTTGTTATTTGAGAACTATGGCTTTTCATTTTTCAATTTTGACTGTGCATCTGTTGTGTTGAGTGTTGCGTTTACGTTTTGCAAATGGGTAATGTTAACTTGTGCCCCAAGGGCACATGTTAAGAAAACCACTTTTAGTAAATTTGTATTGGAAAAAACAATTTAAAAGTTAATTTTATACTTTAATTAAAGTTTGTACACAATTTCCAAGATGATATTTCTTAATTTAGTTCTTAACATGTGCCTTTGGGGCACACATTAACATTACCCTTTGCAAATTAATTACTCGCTGCCCTTATGTTTCAATTGTCCGTTCCTAAACTATTTGCGCATTGAGTGTGTGGTTCACAAATACGTTACGATGAATATTCAATAGGCTTAGTTATAGGACGCATGCGTGAAGTTCATGTTAACCTTATTGCTGTGAAATTTCCATTTTTCAAATTTGTATATATTTTATGATTTAAGTGTCTGGTTCTTTTTAAGCAGTGAATTTAACTTGTCAAATTTCATTGTATGTTGTTACATTTATGTGGAAGTCCCGCTATGGCAGAGTAACAAGAGTGTTGGATCAAGATTTTTTGCCACTATTTTGTTGTTTGCTGCAGTTTAATTTTGAAACATTCGGTTTTGATCTCCCGTAAACTAATTGATACTTCGGTTTTTATCAATTATTTTTAGTTGGTCATTTAGAAGACTAGCCCACTATGCTAGTATACACGTTAAAAACTCTAAATTCAAACCTTGATTCTCCTGAAGAATTTTCTCCAAATCAAATTAAAATGCTTAATAACTACTCAAATACAATTTCAATAAACGATGAAAAAGAGAGAGCTCCAAGTCTTCAGTTCACTCTCCCAATTGTTTGGGTCCGAGAAGTCTTTCTTAAGCTCGAATAATTGCCTTCTAAAAATGATAAACGAATTCAAATCTATTTTCCTAAACACGTAGATGGAAAAGAGAGAGTTCCAAGTCTTTGGTTTACTCTCCCGATTACTTGGGTCCGAGAAGTCTTTCTTAAGCTTCAAGTAATCGTCATCCGATTAAAACACTCTAATTATATCAAACATCTTTCAAAATATTAAATGAGAAAATGAGAGAGCTCCAAGTCTTTGGTTCACTCTTCCGATTACTTAATGTCCAAGAAGTCTTTCTTAAGCTTCGAGTTATCCTCATCCGTTAAAATACTTTAACCGCATCTCATTGTTCAAAGCCTTCCAAACACAACCACTCTTGGGGATAAAAAAGAGAGAGCTCCAAGTATTTGGTTCACTCTCCCAATTACTTGGGTCTGAGAAGTCTTTCTTAAGCTTCGAGTAATCGTCATCCGATCCACTTACTTGAACCGTACCCATTTCCTTCCTTTCTAGATGAAAAAGAGAGAGCTCCAAGTCTTTGTTCACTCTCCTAATTACTTGGGTCCGAGAAGTCTTTCTTAAGCTTCAAGTAATCGTCATCCGATCAACTTATTCGAACCATCATATCCTTTCGCATTTGAGGTTGAAAAAGAGAGAGCTCCAAGTCTTTGGTTCACTCTCCCGATTACTTGGGTCCGAGAAGTCTTTCTTAAGCTTCAGGTAATCGTCACCTCTAGCCAAAAACATCTGATACAGTTAACCAATCTCTTACTCGCCCCCGTGCGACCAAAACCCTAAAACCTATTCAAATCTATCCTCTTTTTCAAACCAAAATACTTAACTAATCAAACACTAATTCCTCACCCCGTGCGATCCACAACTCAAACAAACTCTTACCAAAGAACATTGTTTAGTCCATTCTTTCGCGCATAACAAACTCGTGCTTCAGCCTCCCCTAGCGAGCAGACAAGCCAATGTTTAGCAGTTAGAATGCGACTTAAACTCTCGTTCGACTCAAATACACATTTTACCAAGAACATTGTCTAGTCCCTTCTTCCGCGCATATGAACTAGTGCTTCAGCCTCCCTTAGCGAGCATACAAGCTAACATTTAGCAGTTAGAATGCGACCTAAACACTCGTTTGTTTACAAACCTTTTACCCGTAGTCCGAACTACGACCCCTCTGATTCTTCATTCTTCTTTGAATGTAAGATACGTAGGCACAAGATTGCAATGATCTTGGCGAGCACATTTCCCTCTTTTTCCCGTAGTCCCACGAACTACGAATGCTCTGATTTTCCACTTGTTACAAGTGAAGATACGTAGGCACAAGGGCCCTAATCCTTGGCAAACACCCTATCTTAATAACCACCCATTTTCCCATTAGCAAGCAATTCCTTTAGAAGATAAACAAGCGTAACTAATTTCTCTCACGAATCGAATCAAGAGGTTCCCGTTGAGTACAATGGACGTAGAGGATGCTAATACCTTCCCTTTACGTAATCGACTCCCGAACCTAGAATTTGGTTGCGATGACCATGTTCTTATATCTCTTTAAAGGTTTATCGATATTTTCCTATTCCTTCCTTGGAATGAATAAAGTTCGGTGGCGACTCTGTTCGAACGTATTTCCGCGTCCATCGCGACGATCGTATTTTTCGAGGTAGGACACACATCTCTACGTGGCATAGCAAGAGAAGCAAAAACAACAAGGTGTTTGAGAATAGTCTAGGTGTAGTCGAACTGTCAATATGGAGACAAAACTATGAGAGAGTCAAAGTATAGACTGTGGATTTTCGAAAGCAAGATGAAATTGGAATGTGAGAGAGTAAAATGAAAAAAAAATCGTGAGAGAGTAAAATGAAAAAAAAAATCGTGAGAGAAAGAGGAGTGGTGACGTTTGAGATTTGCCGTAGTAAAAAAATAGGGTTAGGTTAAGTGGTATTGTCTTTAGTTTAGTAAGTTTCTAATATATACTTAATTATTATTAGTTAATAAAGATTCATTAAAAAAATAAAAAGGCAGTAAAGTGTAAACTAGAAGTGCATAAGTCAAGCAAGCATGATTAATATTAATAATAATGTTTAATTATAATAATAATAATAATTTAATGTGTGATTGGAAACTGGAAGGAAAGTGCAAAAGATCTTTGTGTACGTTACAATTTACAAAGTTATAGCAACTTTAAAATTTATAAATAATAATAATATAATAATAATTAATTATGCCACGTCAACGGGTTGGGTCAACGGGTTCATGGGTTTAGAAACTAAAACCCAATACCCGAACCAAATCTATACGGGTTGTTACGGGTTGGGTTGGGTATATCCGTAAATGAATGGGTTCGGGTAATTAGTGGGTTGATTCGGTTTGGGTATGCGGGTTTGCGGGTCGACCCGCACCCATGAACACCCCTACTAAAAGTACTACCGAGATTTTTGACCATTATTTCAAATCTTAATTTCAGTGGCAAGACATACACCATAATCCAAAAAACTCCAAAAGCATTTCTATCCAAAGAGGTTGTTCCTCTCCTATACCCTTCTAAGAATAAGAAAAATCATGTTAAAACTCCAAGACCCTTATTTTAAGCATGTATTTACATCCCTTTTTGTGGAAAAAACAAAAGAGAAACAAATATTTTTCTAAGGAGTTGAGCGTTTACTAGGTGTTTGAGTCGTCATGCTTAAATCATAATGCTTTTAAAGGCTCGGGAATTTAAAGGACTGTCCGTCCATAATTTTCCAATCAACGTTTTCTTGAAGACCTTGTCAACAGTTTCAACTTCACCATCCATTGTTACACTTACTTCTTTTTCTCTCTGAGGGACATTTTTCAATTTTCCTTCCCTTATTATTCCATTGATGACTTAAAAATAAAGACTAAGCACCAAATCAAAGAGATTAAAAAATCCAGAGGAGGTCCATAGAAGGTTGAACAACCATATGAAACTGGGTCGGAAATTAAAGCAAAATTCTTGCCTTACATAGGTCACCAAGTAGATATATGCATCTAACAAAATTAATTAGACTCTCATAACTTAACAAATTAAAAATTGAATTTAAACTAAAAAGTATTTAAATTTTGTGTCCAATATATTTTAAAGAGGATTACATTATATGAAAAAATCTGTAGAAAACCAATATGTCTAAAGAAAACACCAAACAATCCACTAGTACATATTAATAAATTGTAATATTTGTACAATCTATCAATAAGCTGGAATAGTTCACTTGATTAGAGTGTTTGGCTGTTAACCACAAAGTCGTTGTAACCTAGTTGCTTATTAGTTATAACCAAAATTTTAAAAACCAAACCTGGACATAAAACAATGTAAAACACATAAAAATAAATGCCAAAACCTTAAAGCTCTATGTTCTCAGAATAAACAAATAATTAACTCTTCTATAAGTACTTCCCCCTACAATAATTCTAAACTTAGCACCAACATAAGCACCAGTGCACCACAACTGCTAGAGAACTAACTTATACTTCATTGGTTGCTATTTACCACCTCTCCATTCATTCCAGTCTTTATCGACATTAGCATGGGCCCAGTTGAGAGCACTACGCGCTGCTTGCGGTCCTCCAGGCAATCCCCGTTCGGTTACAGTATCAGCCATGTCAGCGAAAGGATAAACCAAGAGTGTACCAGGGCCTCCATACTCGGAATGCAAGAAGGTTCTGAAAATCTGTTCAACTCAATCAGTCACATAAATTAAAGCCAACAAGGTAAGTATGAACTTCAACTCACAAGTCAATGGCAGCTCAAACAAAATCCATACAAAACAAACTACTGTGTTAGTGAATCAATCATAAACAGTCATTTTATGCCAACCAAAGGTAGGCGAGAGATATGTTTTTAACACAATCATAGTAGAAAGTAGTGTTGTCAATCGCATATCGCACAAGACACGGCTTGTTCCAATTCATTTATGCTGCAGTACTAGAGTGCCATTATAACTGCTATCTAACAACACTTTATACTAAATGATGGATCACAAAACAAAATCGATTAGTTCAATTATGCTTCGTAGCGCAATATCATCACCACAGTGGCTATTTGACAACCTTGGTTGAAAAAAAGACATTCAAACACTGCAAAAGATATATTCTAAGTTAACCTTTGAAATGGCTAAAACATGAAAATATTGATATCATAGAAAAAAACCATATCTTATTCTTCATCCCTTTATTTTCTTTTTCTTGTTATTGGAAAATCCTCCTATTGTTAACTCCTAGTTACATAACTTCAATTTAGATTTCAATGAATTTTACAATTACATAAATGTTTATGTATGAACTAAAAGCATGCTATAATTCTCTGCACTATGGACACCGAAAACACGACACCGGCACCTAACATCTTGATACCGGTAATAATTTTTTTTAAGAGGGTCGGTGCTATTGAGCTATAATTTTGTGCCTAACCAACCCTATTTTGTTGTCTAACATGAAGTAGTATGGTACTCTTTTGTTGTAAAAAATCAATTATAGATTTCTCTAACACAAAAATAAAAATCACAAGCGTTGAAAAAAACACAAATCTTGTAATCACAAAGAGATTGTTCAACCAAAGAAACCCACCTCTGTGCAAACTCCAACAACTTCTTCAACTGAATCCTCAAAGATATCTTTCTGTGGAAGCTTCTTAAGAAGGTGGCTTTTGAGTTTTTCGGTCTCCTGAAACCCACAAAGAGATTATTTATTCAAATGAAATTATTCATGAGCAAATAAAAAAAACCCAAAATTTGAAGAGAAAAGTTACGGAATCTGCAAATTCAGGAATTGGGTCAGGGAAGTTGTGGAATTTGTACTCCTCCTCCTCCTCCTCCTCCTCCACCTCCTCCTCCTCCTCCTCCTCCTCCGAGACTCTAGTAATGAAGCGTTTAGTGGAGGAAAAGGGTAAAGTTGTAAGGTTTGTATTAAGAGAAGGAAATGAGAAACGTTGTTTGCATTTGGCAGTGGTTTGGGATAAGCATAGCGGAGGAATTGAAGAAGAAGAAGGAATGAGGAAGAGTGAAAGAGACGAAGTAGAAGCCATAGTTCAAAAACAAAAACCAAGGTGATGCTCCTTTATCCTGCTAGCCGCTAGGTAACTCAATGAGTTTATAAGTATTTATATGTTTATCAAACTAATTACTATTTTCCAAGTTTATGTTTTTTAATACTAAATTATGTCCTCTTTTTTTCAAACTCCATTTCAAGTAGCATTTGAACTCATATTTTATTTCAATTTTACTTTTATTATTTTAACTAAAATAATCTTAAATTCTTAAACACTTCGCACACCTTTCGTCAGGAAGTTTTATCCCATACCCCTACACTTATACCCACACTCCTACATTAAAAAATATTGGACCAAAATACCCTTGTTTAAATATCTATAATTTTGAAAATTTTTCATTTTTCCTTCATTCCCAAATACAAAGACATCCGGAAGCTCTGTTTCTTTTAACAAACCGGAAGACTTCAACCAAGACATCCGGAAGCCATTTTTGATCAAATACATACCGGAACTCTACCAGTAAGTCATCCGGTTTGTAATTTTTTTTTCATCTTCACCGGAAGACTTAACGAATGTCTTCCGGTTTGTAAACTTGTTGATTTTGTCTTCCGGAACTCTTTCCTAAAGACTTCTGGTACACGCGAATTGGATTTTCTTCACCGGAACTCTTTTTAAAAGACATCCGGTACAGACCAAAAACTATTTTCTTCACCGGAACACACTCCTGAAGACTTCCGGTGTATTATTTTTTTTTAAATTTTTTCTTCTACGTATTTATTTTTTTCTACTTATTTAATTTTTTTTCTACTTATTTAATTTTTTTTCTACTTATTTATTTATTTTTTTCTACTTATTTATTATTATTTTTTTTTAATTTTTAATTATTTTTTTTCAGTGGTGCGCACACGAGGCATAGATGGTAGGATCCCTCATGGAGTAGGACGGGGTGAGTCATCGAGAATGGCTGAAGAAGAGCATTTTGATGCATCTGCATCAGCATCAGCATCCGAGCCGGTTGGATATCCAGGAGGACCGTCTGATACATCTCTGTTAGTTAAATACGAACAGCATATTGCAAACCGTATATGGTTCGGTCAGGTAAGAAAACAAAAATTATTTAATATTCAATAGAATTCAAATTTTTAATTGTTTTAATTGTTTTCAGGAGAGAGGGTCGAAGAAAGAGTTAAAGGTAGCGGGGCATGGATTGAAGTTGATGCAGAGGGTTCCACTACAGCTACCTAGAGAGATGAAGGGCTGGATATCTAGGTCTGGTCTAGCTTCACTCCAGAGAACTAGTTTAACAAAGATAGACACAAACCTAGTTTCAGCATTTGTAGAGAGATGGCATCTAAAGACATCTTCATTTCACATGTCGTTTGGTGAGATGACGATTACTCTAGATGACGTTTCTTGTCTGCTTCACTTGCCCATCAGGGGAGTCTTCTGGAGTCCTCAAGATATTAGTGAAGCGCTTGCTGTTGAGTGGGTTGTTCAATATTTAGGAGTGTCACAGAGAGTAGTACAACAACAAATCCGTGAATGCAGGGGTTCCTACTATACGAATCAAGCATGCATGAAATCTACAATAACAGTATAATTATAAATTTGAGATGAATTATTCCATAGTCAAACATAAAGAATCAAAAAAATTATATACAACAAAAAAACATAAATAAAACAAAATTGTATCAAAGTAGGATGTAAAATTTAACATTTTTGTGTAATATAATTTTTTCAAACATTTATATGATTGAATTCTCAGTTTGCTCAGACTCAATATAGGCAAATGTGACAGCAAAAGTCAACTCGGTTGATGTCATTCCAACAATTTCAAACAGAGGTTGCCTATATTTGTTTGTCTTGTAAGTGCTGTCCATAACTAGCACAGTAGGAAAAATATTCAACAACTTAACTGAATCTGGATGAGCCCAAAAGATATCTCTAATAACTTCAGAGTCATCTCTTTTTCTACTCCAATAAACATAACCTGCTTCCTCAATAAGCTTAAACAAATGTTGTATCTCACTTCTAGAACCTCTTATATTTTTTTACTATCGTACTCTTCTGTTTGTATATTTGTGTGATCCGAGTGACATTATCTGGATCTTGCTCTTGCAATGAAAGCAGTATATGTCTAGGTGGAACCTTTCTCTTTGTCAAATCAATAACATGTTGCTTCTGATCCACTGTCAACCTACCGACAAATGCGTGACCTTCTAATCTATCAGGTAAATCATGGTTATGAACTCCACATTTTACATCAATTTTCCATCCAGATCCATCAGCCGCTGGAATTGATCTGATTCTAAATGGACATTCACATTTTTTCGTCGCACTCTGAGTTCCACTAACAATATCTCTGTGTTTTCCTCCTTTATTACATCCAAATATTAATTTGTTACTTCTTCCTCTCTTACCTGTTTTAATATCTGAACGAGTGATGATAACCGTAACTTTATTTCAGATTCCGATCTCTTTAATCCATCTTATTACCTCTTCTCGTGTATTAAATTTTTGAGTAGTTGAAAAAACATCAGACGTATCTACCCATATTTGATCTTTATCTCATTTTTGTAAAGGAACTTCTGAAATTACATACATACGTAAAAAAAATTTTTTTAAAAAAAATTAAAAAAAAAAAAAAAAAAAAAGGCCAATACATACCGGAACACTTATAGAAAGAGTTCCGGTAGCCAAACTACATACCGGAAGACTTACAACAAGTGTTCCGGTAGTCAAAAAACAAACCGGAAGACTTGTTCCAAGTGTTCCGGTGATCACACGAAAATCCCAATACCAGATGCCTTTATTAAAGTGTTCCGGTATGAAAGAATATGCGTACCCATTGCGATTCTCAGAGTGTTCCGGTTGATTGGGGGTCTATTCTTCAAAGTCTAAAAATTATAAAAAAATGAAAATAAAAATAATAAAATATTAAAATATATGAGGGTAAAATGGGTATTTTTTTAAAAATGTAGGGGTATGGGTACAAGTGCAGGGGTATAGGGTAAAGCTTCCCTTTCGTCATGATGTCTACAATCTGATTCTCAATTTTGTAATGTTTCAAGTTTAGCTTCTCATTTCCTACTTGCTCTCGAAGATAATGGAACCTCATTTTGACGTGTTTGCTTCTTCCACGTGCTATCAAATTCTTAGTCAGATTGATAACAGACATGTTGTCGATCTTCATGGTAATTGCTCCATGATTCTTCCCTATAATTTCTTCGACCAAATTCACCATCCACTTTACTTGAAATGCACAGAGAGAAGCATCATTGTACTCTACTTCACAAGACGATAGTGCCATTACTGATTCTTTTCTTGAGTTCTAAGCAACTAGTGCACCACCTAGCATAAACACATAGCCAGATGTGGATTTCCTATCTTCAGCATCACTACACCAACTTGAGTCGGTGTAACCCACTAGTTTGAATTATTTTCCTTCATCAGCTGCATGAAACAAAATACCATAGTCGAGAGTTCCTTTCAAATACCTTAGTATCATTTTTGTTGTTGCTAGGTGTGGTATCTTTGACTTCTGCATGAATCTACACACCATACCTACACTATATGCTAGATGAGGTCTCGTGTGACAAAAGTATCTTAATGATCCAATAAGTATTTTATACTATTTTAGGTCTTGTTAGCTCACAAATTCGACGCCTCATATATATAGATTAAAATATTTAAATAAAATATTAAAGTCTTTTGAGAGGTAAAGAGGTTTTCGAAGCCTTGAGACCTTCGATTGGGAAGTCAAATGTTGTGGGGCTTAGAGAAAATTCTGAACCTTAAAGAAAGCAGCCTTCGACCGAGATGCTGGCTGGAGATTAGTGAAGTTTTTGAAATTCAAATAATGGAGGGAGTAGTTATGCTTTCCTATGACTAAGAGGGACAAGTGGCGTTCGTTTGGCAAAGGACTTCATGCATTATGACACTTGTCGAAAGTTGATGGTCTTAGGAGGTTATTGGTAGTTATTTCTACTATTATAAATAGGAGTCTTAGACATAGAATTCAGTGTGTTTTAATTTACTATTTGTACAAGTCACTCCCAAATTTACTCAAAGTATCCGAGTGTAGAGAAAAGAGTTCAAGGAGAATGTACGTTATGTAAACACACCATCTTTACTTTCAATGAAGTTTAATTTACTTGCTTAACTTTACAAAGTTTTCCTTTACTTTTTCTACAATCTACCCCCTTCTATGCACTTTACTTTATCTTCGTCCTAAATTCCTTTCTAAGATCTCTATCTCTTTCCTTCTAAATTTCTATCTTCTCTTTCGCTTTAGTCAAACAAACACCTTTATGATTAAAGCCTTTTTCTAAACACTGTCGAAGTATGTAACTTAGATAGATTTCAAAACATAAACTTTTAGCACATGTCCTAGGATCAATCTGATCGATCCTGTGAGTCACCAAAGTTAGATTTGGAAGATCAGCGGTTGTTTTCCATTTTTCAAGGGAAACAAAATGGCATGCCTAGTGGGACAGTGCTAAAATATTTTTTTTATTATAGTTTTGCAAAATTCGCAAAACTGCAGTTTTATTTGTCTTTCGTAAAAGATTCGTTATATGTTACTAAGAAGTGGCAAAACCGCCGCTATAAACGAAGAAATACCAAGAAGAGAGTATACTAGGGACATGGCGACATATACAAATCATCCAAACAACCCTAATCCTCGAGGAGATGGTTCTAACTCTCAGCCTATCACCATTAGTCCTCACGAAGGATTGAGGAATGACGTGGTTCCACCCTCAATACCTTCGACCGGAGAGCAAATAGTACCTCCTGCAAGACTGAAACCCGTACCATCAGTGTTGGGGCCTGGGTCAACAAGCATGGGGACTTACATCCAACTGGTGTTGGAATATATTGGACCTCAAGCGTCAAATCCCCAGACTCCGCCAGGAGGAAATTCGACGTCTAGACAGTTCGTCCCTTCAGGGTTTTCACAACTATTACCAAGAAACCCTCCATATGGAATGCCAACAACTGTGATGCAGGGTCTCCAAAATGCTCCCTCAATATTC